TGGGGCAATTGCCATCGGTCACGAAACCAAAAGCACATCGGATACTGGTGATGTGAGACAAGTGAGACAGAGAGGAGCCATATGAGCGAAACAATGAAGCTCCGACACCGAACGGACAACCGACAACGCAAACGTAACGAACGCAACCAGACAAGGAAAAACAGCGCACAAACAGACATTGTTGCGCTCATAAGGAACCAAAATATACGGCCAAAAGATGGGCATCGCGTGACTTGAGTTTAATCAAGTCAAGCGCATCATTGAAAGCGACGAGCTTAAAGTTCAAAACGCACTCAATCCGCCGGGGGCACATTTGCGCATCGTTAACCCCCATAAATGGCCATGCGGAGAGAGTGAAACCGCAAGAACTAAATCAAAAAGTCAGCCCAAATCCAAAGGCATGAGGATTCAAGAAATCACTCAAGGGCAGATTGACACAGTGAGGAACCAATTGTGTCACGACATGCAATTCAGCAGGTCACGCACGGCCACGGTGCGGCCGTAGTAGTTAATGTCGTCGCAGCGCTGGCCGTTGGCGGAGGATGAAACAGGCGGGGTTCGGAGTGGCCGGCGCCAGCGGGTTGGTGGCGTCCGTGTTTCTGACTCTGACGGCGATCTTGATCGACTCGGGGTCGATGAACGAGGTACCGCTGGTCAGCGGAATGCGGCAGACCCTCGAGGTGGCGGGGAGAAGGAGCTCAGCGAGCTGGGGAAATACTGCACGTCGTGCCGTGCGGTCACGTAGGTGTTGCTGGTTTTCAGCTTGTAGGTCAGGCTCTGCATCAGCTCGTCCTGTGCTCCGGCTGTGACTACCTCCATATGCTTCTTTACATGTGGCGCAACACGCATTTTCACTCGTACGGCGAAGGTGAGTCTAGGCCGCCTCGATGTCCCGGGCCAGCTGGTCGTAGCTCGGCGGAGGCAGGCGGCTCTGGGCGGGACTGCCCGGAGCTGCGAGAGCTTGCCCGAGAGTTCGGCTGGGACTGAGGCAGAGTCACTGGGTTCGGACGCGGAACGATTGCGAGGAGCGCAGCGTGAAGTGCTGGGGCTGAGTGGCGTCGTTCATGTTGTTGGCGGACCGGACGTCCTGCACGGCCGCGTCCTCACTGCCCTGCTGAGGCCGGAAGAGCGTGTTCTCCAGCACTTAGCCCGTGCCGCGCGCAAGACCGTAGGCTGCGCCGCCTGCGAGTCCCACGGCCAGCCCAGCCGTTGCCGCTGCGCCGACTCCTGCCGTGGCAGCCAGCGTTCCAGCAACCTCGCCCGCGGTGGGTGCGAGGGCTGCTGCTCCTTCGGCCAGGCCCCCCAGGTACCCGAAGGCCCCGCCCACGCCCTCGGCGGCAACGGCGACCTCTCCCTCAGTAGTAAGGAAAGACAGCTTATAGCACCCTAATTATTTAGGTTTTTTTGGTCCCAAAACCCTGCAAAACAGCCAAATTCTCCATCCAGCTGAACGTTTTTCCGATGTCACCGGTCTTTGTCACCGCTCCGTTTTTGGTGCAAAAAGCGCTCAAAACGGCCAACTCCGAAGAAATCAGGCTCCAGACGCTCGCTGTGCTCTGGATTCCGTTTTCAGCCCGGAAAAGCAGGCAAATTCCATCCTGCCGAGCTTGTCACCGTTCGTCACCGCTTCGTCACCGCTCACTTTTGGGCCGAAAAAGTGCGCAAAAGCGGCCCAGTTCCCGAGTTCCGGAGGACTTCGTTCTTCGCAGGGTTTTCCGCGGCACGACAGCCTGCCGAGGACCTTGCTCGTAACGCGGCAGCCCGCCGAGGTTTCGGCTTGTGACACAACAGCCTGCCGAACTTGTCACCGCCTTTGTCACCGCTCCGTTTTTGGTGCAAAAAGTGCTCAAAACGGCCAACTCCGAAAAGCTCGTTTTTTCGTGTCAGACGGCAAGTCGGATGCCTGAGCCTCTAGTTTCGCTCGTTTTCGGTCGAAAGCAGGCTCCAGACGCTCACTTTGCGCTTTCAGCCCGGAAAACAGGCGAATTCCATCCCGCCGAGCTTGTCACCGCTTGTCACCGCTTCGTCACCGCTCTCTTTTGGGCCGAAAAGTGCGCAAAAGCGGCCAAGCTCCCGAGTTCCAGAGGACTTCGTTCTTGGCAAGTTTGAGTTAGACCAAAACTTAGCCTCTATCTCTGTGGAGGTCCAATCCGGCCAGAAATCATGTAACAAACCACGTCGCTCTTCATGTAAATAATCATGACAACAAAAAGGGGATGCAACAAAAAATGTAGAAGATCATGTAAATACTGGGTGCCTCAAAGCCGACCCAAGTTGGAAGCTCAACAGGCCTCAAGCCACCCACCCACCAATCCAACTGGTCCACAAAGAGTGCCCTTCAGAAAGCCTTCAAAATGAGTCTTTTGCGAGAGGTCCTGATAGACCAGCAACAAGTGAACGCACTTGCAATTGCTGAAGCACTGCAACATTGGTCAGCCATATCCAGGAGGGTGTCACAGGATGTCTGTTTATCGGTTTTCAGCCGTGCCGTACCGTCAAGCAATATTCAGGAAGGGATTGCAGGAGACTCTGCTGGGCGATCTGACTCTGAAGTTCATAAAACATCAGGAACCGGAGGCGTCAAACAATTGAAAAGGACCGATCACAGGAAATTGCGGGTTGGGTGTCCTGAGTCCTGCAAACCTACTTGAATTGATGTTTGAGTTTGGTCCAAAGTACCCAAGGCTTCAAAGCGAGGATCGAGCTGCCAGAAGCCGCGGCGCAAACCATTTTTGCAAATCAAGTCCGTGTGATGGCCCAGGCAAGATGCAAGATCACTCACTTACCGCCACGCTTTGTCCTCTTGCTCGGCTTGTCATCCTCCTCTTTGCCCGCACCCGTCTTTTTGCCCTTCTTGCCCTTCTCCTTGTCTTTGTCCTTCTCCTTATCTTTGTCCTTCTCCTTGTCCTTCTTCTTGCCGCCCTTCAAGCCCTTCTCCTTCTCCTGCTTCTCCTCCTTGTCATCCGCCTTGTCCACCTTGTCTTTGGGGCCCTTCTTCTTGCCCTTCTTGCTGGCGTCAAGGTCGGAGAGGAGGCCCACAACTTGCAGCGCGGTCAGCGCAACTCCCCAAAAAAACATGTAACACATGACTACTACATGTGACCCAGCCCTACACAACAGCGAATCAAGCGACCCAAGCGATTGGCAGCCGGCAACATTCACCTTGACCCTGACTCTTGGGCCTCTTGTGTCTTGACAATTGGAATGGTTCTGTATTCTGATGATTCACTGATGATAGATTACGATAATGCAATCTGCAGCATCTGCTGATTCACGATTCACAACGTTCAACTACCACTGATTCTCAGATTGATTTATTGTCTGAGATGAAAAAAACCTTGACTCGACCATGATTCCGACAATGTCTCAGGATTCGAAGTAGCTGGCACTGGCGCTCAAGGATGATGCGCCCAATTGGCGCTTGCAGATCGGGGCAACTTGTTTTGGTCAGTCAGCCAAACCTAGACCCCGGTGCCTTGGGAAGTGCATCCTTGCTGACCTCATACTTGGTGCTGCAAACGTTGTAGAACTCCTCCTCCACGTCGAGCGAGCTCCCATCCATCACCAGCTGACTGCCAGCAATGCTCGCTGCCACCACGAAGGCATTGCGGCTCTCCTCCTGGAAAAGAGCAACTTGTGCCCCCACCTCCTTGGCGAGGACTTTCATCTTCATGTTGCAAGACTGCAGCTGGTGCTCGCCGATGCTGGTCATGTGCTGGCAAGCCTCCTTGAGAAGCTCGTGGCTGCGCTGCAGCGCATCTACATCGGCGTGAACCTCGGCCTCTCTCTTGGACTCGAACACCCACGAAACCTCCGCCATTTGCCACACCTCTGCAGCTTCGCGGACTTTGCCATACTTCGAAATGAACTTGGTCACGGGAGCCAGCAGCGCATCCTTGGCCATGTCATTGCTCTTGGCCATGGACTCCAGGAAGCTCGCCTCGAACTTCTCGCACTGCGCCTTCACCGGCAGCAGCAGCGGGTCGCTCATGAGGGGGCACTCCCGTGCAGCCACAGCCGCCTCAAAAACTGGCAGCCCCTCCTTGAGCCCTTTCCAATCACCTTGGCTGCCGGCCAAAGCTTGGATGTCTTCCTCCCACCTGGCGGCCCGCTCAAGGACCTGCGCAATGGGCCGCTCATCTCTGCGAAGCAACCCTGTGATCTCCTTCCTCTGCAGCTCCTGACCAACAACGCCACGGACGATATTTGACATCTGAGTCATCTGATACTGAGAATCTTCACTCTTGACTGTTGGCTCAGGAAGACTCATATAACATCATATAACTCATATAGTGACTCCAGACTCCAGACTCTACAGACTAAAGAGACTAAGTCTTGACTAAGTACTAGACTCTACTACTACTGTACTAATGTCAAATGACTCAATGACTCATGACTCATGACTAAGAACTAAAGGACCAATTAAATATTGAGTTTTGAGTTTTGAGTCTTGAGTCTTGAGTCTTGAGTCAAGTCTTGAGTCTTGAGTGAAGTGACAATTTACTAAAAGATGCAAAATGCAAAAATTGAAAAAGGGTTGGCCTAACTCTGCTCCTCAGGTTTGTCCAAAAGCATCTGCACGGCCTTGGAGAAGATCACGCGCTGCACGCGGTGCAGCATGCTCCTCACCGCAGCCGCCGCCACCGACATGTCCTCCTCCGTGTCAGCGTCATTGCCTGGCAAAGCACTGAGGTAAGCTTCGGTGTACCTGCCCAGCACCTTCAAAACGCTGGGGTCGTCGTTGGACTCGAGCTTGAAGTCAAGCGTCGTGGCAACCCAAGCCAGCATGCCCTTCAAAGCCGGAGAGCTGCTCGCTGCCGGCGAGGCCATCGCCACACCCTTGATCAAACCTTAGCAACTGACAAATTCCTGACTCATCATGTGACACATGTGACACAGCACAGTGTTTTATTCTGAGCATTTGACCGACCCTTTTTCTTCTAGCGCGCCACGGCGTTCCAAGGACGCTCTGGCAGCAGCTTCTCGCGGCGGCCAAGGAGATGGGTGACATTAAGGAGCACCAAACGACTGCCGTCAAGTTGCAGTCCCTGATCAAGGACCTGATGGCGGTCAACTCTGTGAAAGGAGAGTCGGAGCTGGGCGACATCGCTGCCAAGGTGAAGGAGCTGCAGGCGTGGCCGACAGTGGCGCGCGTTCTGGAGGAGAGTGGCGTGCCAGAGCAGCAAGCCACCGCTGCCGATTTGAAGGCCAGCATCGCTGCCCTCGATGAGCACGCGAGCAAAATCTTCTCTGATGCCAAAAAGGTCACGGGGCAAATCACTACGTGGGCAAACAACGGCTTCAAGGTTTCTGGCAATGCCACCCTTGCAGCCTATGGCAAGCTGTTCATGTCCGGCCCGGCTGCAGCGCCTGTCCTTCCGCCGGTCATCAATCAGCAGTTCCGCCTCTGGAGCTGCTGGGCTGCAGTTTGCCAAGTCGTTTCGTTCGGCCTTTGAGTCCAGGGCCTTGAACACATCAGAGCAGACCCGATTGTAGGAAACCTAGCCTAGGTCAGTCAAGCCAAGGCCTGGCCGGGCAGTTTAAAAGGAAGGGGCGGGAGTCGGAAGGAGGGAGCGGAGGTAAACAAGCAAACCATTTTGTTCAAAACACCAAGGGGGATTGTGGGGAATTTTCCTAAATTTTCTCCACATTTTTTACAATTTTTTCATTATGAAGCAGTCTAAGATTTCATCATTTTCAAAGTCTCTGTTGTTGTCAGTTGTTATGGTTTTTGTTTGGGTTTTCCCGTCGACCTCGCACCGGCTACGACATCATGCTCTACAACAATGAACCGTCGGGACACTCAGCAGTGTGGGAGAGAAAGACCATCAGTCAGTTGAACTTGTCAAAGCTTGCTTTTCATCCGTTTATTTTCTCAGAGACTGCTGTGATTAGTTGCCCTCTGCTCCCTAGTATCAACTCAGCTTACAAGGTTCCATTGATTGCCATTTGGCTCAAGTCACAAGTGAGGTTCAAGATCTTATGTGAAGCTGCGTTCATACGTGATCGGCAATTGAGAGCGGAAAACACTTCGCTTGCGCTGCATTTGTCAGGACCACTGTTGTAACTATTATTCCTTCTCCCTTACAACATTTACACGGGTTCGGCTATAACGGTTTGACCGTATACACCTTTCTACGTGGTTGGTATTTACAGCTGGAGGGTTCGGTGGACAGCGTCCCACGGGACGTCACCTTGCCGTCTCTTGACAGGTTATCAGCCGTAACGACAAGCTCTACACTGGACAGAGAGACAGCTGGTTTATTGCGGGTACAGGGACAATAAAGGAACAATAACCTACACAGTACAATGGCATCTTCAGCGAGCCCAAGTACTGCAACTTTTGGCAACGACAGCTCAGAGGGATCCAATGGATTGATGGCTCTTCCTGCGGTGGGAGCGGAGGATCCGCGCTATTCAGCGACATATCCACTCCTACAAGATCATGGAAGCAGATCGATGTTCGTCAGGAGTCGAAGCAAAGAGAATCCCCGCCGAGAAGATCATCATCTTCGCCTGCGACACCACGGACATCGCAGAAGGGCGTGAGGTCAACATCAAAAGGTGGGAGGTCTAAATCACCCACCAGTGCAGAGTTTCGCGCCGCGATTAAAGAAAAGAACAAGATGGAGATGGAGATCGGGGAATATCAAAAGACACTTGATGAAATGTCGGCAGCAATGGCGAATCTTCATCAAGAAGACTATGGGAGCACCATCCGGATCCAGGAGCTGGAGAGACGATGCGAGATTGCCAGCAAGCAGTCGGGACATCTTGTGAGTCACCACCAACACCACATGGCTGAGGCATGGCGCAAGTTTGAGGAGGAAGCCCAACAGATGCGCAAGGTGGAAATGAACGCATATCAGTACGGGGAAAAGAAAGACATGGAGTCGAATGTTATAATACAACAGATGAGACAAGCTGAAGGAACTATTATGGAGCAGAAGCGGGAGATTGCAGTGGTGAAATCCTACATGGCAAGCGAGAAGTCGGCCGCGCAGGAATCAGCTACACGTGCAAATCAGATACACCGTGAGGCTTCACAACAAATATCAGTTTATCAGCAACAGATTAGAGGTATTGAATCGTCTACATCTATCGAGAAGTTCGAGGAGGAGATGGTCCAAAGTCTAAAATCACAGTTGGAGCACGCACTCGTCAAACGCCCCGAGACGTACTCTATGGAGGACTCCAGGGAGCAGCTGATGGCGAGACTGAACGACGTTACAACATGCGCGGAGCAAGAATCGAAGAGAGCAGAGTGCTTACTTCGCGAGAAGGAAGAGATCGTCAAGCAGTACGAATCCGACGTGTTGAAGAAGGACCAGATGATTGCTATCGAGGGTAGTCATCGTCAAGATGCGATCTTGGAGTTAGCCCAGGTCAGAGAAGCAAAACAAGAAGAGCGGTGCACGATGGACGAGAAATCGAAGGAGGCCGAGTACTGGAGATTGACAACTAAAGGAGTGTATGATGAGTACCTCGAGGAGATGCGTGAACTTCAGGGACAACTGAAGGATCGGGAGGCGACGCTCAAGCAAGAAGAGAGTTTTGTTCGTCAACGCGATGCTGACAATGAGGAACTACGAGCACTCAAGAAGCTGGAGACACAGGAAGCCTCTAGCAGTAAAGATGGACATCGTGAACGAGCAGTAGTGAAACGCGCTGAGGGAGGACCCCAAGCTGATTCGACTAGGGTAGACAAGAGGGTGACTGGGTTATTCCTGTCATCATCATCGAATCTGATCCCTAATTCGTCACTAATGCCAGGTTCGATTCTCTTTCCGTCTTTTGGTGATCCAATGATCGATGTACACCTATCCCAGATGCAAGGGGTTGTTGGGCATGTCCCACAATCCGTTACTACAACTGGTGGTAGTGGTGATGGAGGGGGAAACAACGGTACTACACCCCCATTGGATTACGGTGGATTCTCGCCCAATGGAAACAAACAAGGGGCAGGTCGACGTCAGTTGAGCCTCACAGGTGGCGGAGGAGGACCTCCGGATGATCCACCCGATGATGAGGACGAGGATGACGACGACGAAGAGGATGAAGAGGACGAGGAAGAAGAAGAGGAAGAAGATGACAATCGGACACGGAGGAGGCGCAGAAGATCGAGGGATGATCGAGAAATCAAGAGCGAAAGACCGAGGATTTCGAGGAAAGAAGCCGAGAGGGTGTCTATTCCTGCTTGGCCAGAGATCCATCAACTCGATAACTGGAAGATGCAATTGCTGATGAATGTTCTGAGCGCATGCGCAGATCCAGATACTGACACATGGACGAAATGGTTGGAACAGGCTCTTGGGTTAAACCCAGACCTAAACCTGCTGAGCGACTCCGGCGGCGACAGATTCGCTACGATAGATATCAAAATGGCCATGGGCATGCAGAACATGTTAAAACAAGCGCCTGACGAAGCCAAAGACGCGTACCTCGACGCCACGCGACATTCGGAACTACGACATCAACAAGGGGTGATCGTGAAGGGACGAGAGTTGGTGGCATTGGTTATGCAATCATTCAGGACATCTGATCGAACGGACCTTGTCTTCCACATCGAGCACCTACTCAACCTTGACTTTCCTGGAGACAAGAATTTGGTTACATTCAGGAACAAATGGTATGATTTGCTGCTAAAGATGAGGAGCGAAGATAGACCCAGCAGGTTGGCTCTCAGAGATATTCTCTACAGGAAGATCAAAGGGAGCAAGAAGATGGAGTTCGGCCTCAACGCCTATCATAGGCTGCCGGACAAGCATCCTCAAAAGACGTACGAATTCTTGTTGGCACTGATCGACCATCAAATTAAGGCGGATCGGGAGGACCTGATGCTTGACATGAAGGAGAAATCGGTCAAGTCCATGATGAAGTCGGGCGGCAGGGATGCAGCCCCGGCTACTGGCAAACAGGAGAACCAGGGTGGCAAAGGCAGGAGGGGAAACCCAGTGGACCTGGTGCTGCTCCTGTACTCCCAAAGGCCAAAGCAAAGGGTCACGCTGGCAAGAACGGCAAGTCCGACGGTGCCAGCGATAGAGGCAAGAGTCCGGGCGGAGGTAAAGATAACCCATGTTGGTATCACTTCAAGGCAGAGAAGGGATGCATAAAAGGGAATGAGTGCAGATTTTCCCACAGCAAGAAGACGGAGCACAAGCTGGAGAACATGCCCAAAGGAAAAGGGAAAGGTAAATCCAAGTCCAGATCATCATCGCCAAAGAGGGATGATGGAGCGTGCAGTGCTTCGCGTTTCAGAAGGGAAAATGCGACAAGGGGAGTGCTTGCAAGTATAGGCACGAGCTCATCAAGAACAGTTCAGCTCCGGCAACGTCAAGCGACAAGGCGCAGGCCAAGTCGAAGGCTACCGCCAAAGCCGCAGCGCCAGCTATTGCAAGAAGGGCCATCGCGATGCCTGCGATAGTCTTGAAGCAATCGGCTCCTGCGGGAAAGGTCAGCTTCAAGAAGGACGTTGACCAGGTCGAACCGGATGAGGCCGAGACTGTCTACCACGAGCATGATGACGACGCAATGAGCGAATCATCAAGATGGTCTGGCGAGTCCGAGATCCCCGAGAAAATGGTATGGTTCAAGGAAGTACTCGATGTCGACGAGAATGGGGAGATCACCTATCTCGAAGACGAGAGAAGGCAATGGGAACGAAAAGGGGAGTGGTACGGCTATGAGGACAATGAGAATGAGCCTTATCAGTACGTACACGTCGACGAGAAGAAGTTTAAGAGCAGTGATCATCGAGAATTATCAGCCTATCAAGTCCAACGATCATTGATAAGAGCGAAAATACTGAGAGAGGTGGTAGACGACATATACAGGAAACACTACTTCCCAGTAACCAAGGAGAGCACCATAATGTTCGAATATGATCGGAACAAGGAGGAGATCAAGGAATCGTAACAGCATGGTTTGCCGAGGAATGTGTTCGCAATGTCAACGTGCATTAGCAAACGGGTGAAATGGTTGATGGACACCGGATGTGGTCATGATCTCATTGGACGAGCCAAGGCAAAGAGCCTGGGTGTCGATATTGTGAAGGATGATGATGAGATTGTGTTCCAGACCGCAAATGGTTCCACGTCCACATCCGACGTGGCCAAGATAGTCGTGGACGAGGAGATGCATGAAGATGGGTTATGCATTTCACTGGATGCCTGGTAAACTACCTTTCATGGTTACACCGAAGCAGGGATTCGTGCACTTACAAGCCAAGGACGACATCCCATACCTCGTGAGTGATGGTAAGCTTCGGAGTAACAGGCATCGCCCTACGGTAGATGACCTCAAGGAGCACTTTTCGGAAGTATTGGCAATGGTAACGAACGATGAGGCAGATCGGGATGGCGATGATGACAACGAGGTCGCACCCGCCGCTGTCGGTGAATCCGCAGAGGTCGAGGGTGAGCGCCATGATGGTGCGTTCGATTTCGGGCCACCCGGA